GGAGTAAATAGATTTTAATTTCAGTTTCCTTTCGAGTTTTAAAGAAAGTATGGATAATTTCTTTTTGAGCTTTTAACCATTTGTCTCACTGCTCGATGTTTATTGTGTATACATATGTATTTCTAACAGATTCTCCTACCGTTTTTTTAAGATCAGCCTCAATGATTTTTATCGGTTAGACGAACATTTTTTGTGATAAAAGTTGCTGTATATGTATATATCTATACGGTTACAGATTGAACACATTTTGATTATTGCGGTATACCTAGATTTTCACTTAACCTGTTAAAATGTTCACTTTTTTGTAATTGTAATGTCCTGGTTTATTTTATATTTATAAGTATTTTTCCGGCATATTTGCTCGAATGCATAATATGATCCTCAAATTCATATTGACAAGTCTTTGAAAAATACCCCTAGGGTAACACTCAACCTTTTCAATTTTGCACTTTTGCGGTTTTCAAGATATCATTCTTTTGTTTTTTTTATGTATGCAAAGTTGAATAAAGGCACATTATTATTATTATTATTATTATTATTATTATTATTATTATTATTATTATTATATCATGGAACATAATCTAATAGGACTATCTATCAATCTATCTATCTAACAATTCCAAGGCATACTTAGGAAATTCTGTTTCTTTTGTTAGTCTCAATGTATGACATACTATACGTTTTTTGAATCAGTATTAAAAACTCTATTCACCTTTTCAAAAATTCAATATAGCGTCTATAAGAGAAAATAAATAATAAAATAAAGTTGACTATCGAAGAAAAGAGACGAAAAGACATATTGAAATTGAAATTCTTACTATGTCATCTTTTAGACGATGGAAAACAGCAATATCAGCATACTTTTTATTTTGAAATATCATCTCAAATAAAGTCAGGAAAAAATAAAAACGATTATGAGAAGATTCTGTTTTTTCTGTCTCCCTCCGGAAATACTCTCCTATTTAGGTGTCATTTTCTTAGTTATCTAGATGCGCAACTTTATTCCCATTTAACTGACTTCGTATCTCTTACCGTTTCCAAGATCCCAATGGTGAAAATCGAATTTGAGACACGCGGATCTTTGACGTAACGACCAATGGAGACGGACGCCAGAAATTTGTCTGCCATATATTTCAGTAAGTTAGTTCGGCTGCGGAAGCAGGCGACATCACCATGGCGTTCCGGTGAGGTCGGGCTCCTAATCATGCTGAATGTCTTGAATTCTAGGTTTGAAAATATATACTCGTTGGCATTATATAGCTACTGCCTTTCTCCCAAAGGATACAGTTGATCGTCGTGGATTCCGCACACTATTTCCGTGTTCTACATTGTTCCTCACACATTTAAACCCTACCGGGATACCTTGCGATCACTTAATGTTGAGTTACATTGGTGTGGAAAGCAGCAGTGGAGAAAAACGCTGAAAAATACCCAACGATGAAAGGGACTTTCTGTTGGACAATTTTTTGTCCGATTATGGAAAAGTGGTTGGCATCATGGTATGGCCTGAATGAACGAGTTCACGCAGAAAATCTGAACGTACGGCCCAGTCAAATAATAGAGTGAATTTGGTCCACAAACGCTAATGTACTATAATCTCAGTTTTCAAACATAACATTTAGATAACAATCCTCGCATTTTTTTTTTTTAAGGAAAATAACTACTTCAATTTTTTGTCCGATTATGGAAAAGTGGTTGGCATCATGGTATGGCCTGAATGAACGAGTTCACGCAGAAAATCTGAACGTACGGCCCAGTCAAATAATAGAGTGAATTTGGTCCACAAACGCTAATGTACTATAATCTCAGTTTTCAAACATAACATTTAGATAACAATCCTCGCATTTTTTTTTTTTTAAGGAAAATAACTACTTTTACCACTAAAACTTTTTTTAGGGTCAAAGAGCGGGCAGTAAAATGTAAGATTATGTTACACACAATTCTGTTGTATTACTCACATAATCTCATTTTAGAACCTGGAACGTCAACATGATGGCAGATTTTAGCTTGCATGATTAGCATGTTTCACTCTTTTTTAGCGATTTGAAGCGGTTTTTTGCAATTTACAATAAATTCGCATGGTCAACGAGCTGAATAAACTTTAGATTTGGATTCAACGATACCAAATAACGTACATTAAATGTACACTTGATCTACGTTGAAAAAAAATATGTCAGTTGCATAACTGCAGTGGCTATTTTGGCAATGTTTTGCAATCCACTAGTTTAAAGCTTCAGACTTGAATTCATCGCTTTAAAATACATTTGATGTAAGTCGAGAAAATTTTGTTCGGTTGCATTAGTAGAATTTTTGCGATTTTTACCGTTTCTAGCGGATTTTTACAGTTTACTCAAAAGTGTGACGATGTACGGGTCAAACGAACCTTATATTTGGATTCAGTGAATCAAAATACATGATCCTACCAATGACAAATCTGTCAGAATTTTATATTACGTGGCGACATGTGGTATAATATGCCCGTGAAAAAAGGCAAGAGCCATAGGTCTAAATAAATTTATTTGTGCTCTGCTGCCCTGTATTTTGGCAGCTCCAATAACTATCTCCCTAGAGTCACCCTTCAGCTTTGCCCTTCAGTCGATAACAACTCGAGAAACTTATAACCGATTCTGTCTCAGGCGCCAGGTATCCTGCTCTCCCACTCCACACGTCCTGTCCGGGAGACGCGTTAGATCAAAGGGGAATTGGGGGCCGAAGTGAGAAGGGGACGGGGAGAGATGATATTGTTACCTCGGACGGTGGGCAGTCCACTCCGGTCGATAACACACGTCGCCCTATACCTTTGTACTTTCTATCTGGACTTATTTCCCACTAGGCAGGGTCAGGAAGAATAAATGGAGGAGATTCTATAGTCTAAGAAATGTAGAGGGAAAGATGCCATTAGTGGATTGGAAGACGTCAATCTGCTTCTTCATATTTTTTACACCGAAGCAGCTGCGTAGGCATAAGCATAAACACCAGTGCACCGCGGCTGCTATGAAAAAAACCTCGTTGATTCCTATCCTCAGGGAGGTTGTACAACAATCTCGACACCCTAGGGATAAAGGAACCGTCATATCAGCCAGTTCTGGATGTTCGACACGGTTAGGATGGGAGTCAGGCAGGTCTGTCTAGCAGGCTCATCGCGTGGCGTCATCATGGACAGGAGCTCTGAGGAGCAAAGCCCGTTGACATAACGGCAGAAGAGAGCTAGATCGCTGACGGCCCGTTAGAGAATACTCATCGATAAGTCGGACAGCCCTCCTCTTAACAGAATCGATAATGGATAATGTAGTCGGGGCGGTAGCACCTCAAATTTGTGAGCAGTACTAAAGGCTATGTCTTGTATACAGTGAGCTGGTTATGTGGAGAAAAGTGCTTCTTAGCCAAAAACAAGTAGCCAGCAGCTGCCGCTAGTGACGAGATGTGTTCCTGTCAGATCAAGTCCGCGGTGATCTGGATTCCGGTAAGCCGAAATCAACTCCTCTTTAGTAGAATTTGGTCATCCATCGATACCGGACAACGCTAGTGCTTTTCTTGTTGGTCATTTTTGGGATTTCTTTAGCGGGGTGATGGGTTGTATCTAAATGTTTTAACGTTAGTGCATTTATATGTTTCTAACTCCTGTAATTCAAAACACCCATTTAATTACCCGTACATTTGCCAGTAAAGCGACGTTTTCAGTGTATTTCAGGCTAGGAAAAATGTGACTTTCTCTTTTGATAGTAAATAAAATCGCGCCTCCCAAGCGGGCCCGAACAGCTAATCAGTTGGAGGACAGCTTATACGTTTTTTGAATAACTTTTGTTTTTGTAAAGTTACAAAGCACGGTTTGCGAGGATCCTTATTTCGGAAATTTATGTCTCTGAAAAGGAAACATTGGATTTTGATACAAATTAGTCTGGTAAGCCGGGCTGTTCAGCATACATTGAGGTTTGAAGACATTAGAATTTATTGTAGAGGAAATATATTGTATACGAGGTTTGTAAAATAAGTGATGAGACTAGCAACACAGCGTTCGACCTGGAAACACTGCAGGCACCAAGCTTAGAGGGGAGACAGGGGGACACGTGTTCCTCCTTCAGTGCAAGCTGAACTTGCTCGAGTCATTCATTGTGTTCTAAAAATGAGCAACGGTGTGCTACCAACTTTTGCTTTAGAGTTGGACACAGAGCAACGGAAACTCCTGCTAAACTTTAGCAGGCCTCAGGAGATAGGAAGATAGGAGATGTTTTGTCAAGGGCCCAAGTTTTTCGGTGGTTTAAGGCATTTTCAGAAGAGAGAGACGACTGAAGATGAACCACGAAGCGGAAGGCCTTCATCTTCAAGCAGCAATGAAAACAACAACAGATCTGGGATCAGATCGTCGTTTGACAGTCAGAATGATCGGGGAATAGTTAAATTTGCCTCACACCACCGTTCATCAGATCAATCTTGCATCACGATAATGCTCCTTGTCCTACACCAATGTCAGCAAACTAGTTTTTGACCAGTCAAAACATTGTTGTGGCTCCTCAGCCTGCTTGTTCGCCTGACTCAAGTCGCTGTGACTTTTTTCTCCTTCCAAAGTTGAAAAATCACCTCATTTTGAGACAGTCGAAGATGTTCAAATAGCTGTGACCGACCAGTATCCAGTTCCAGCTTTGCTTTGAGGAGTGGAAGAACCGTCGCCAGCGCTTGTGGCTCAGAAGGAAGTTATTTTGAGGGTTAACAATATAAAATTGTAATGATAATTGGATGATTTTAAAAAAATCAGTCTCGGGACTTAGTTTACAGACCTCGTATATAATACATCAGCGTTTTCTTTATATTACTAGGCCGTCCGAGGCACAGTTGCGCGTATTTAAAGTCAAATAAAAATAAATATGTTCAGTATTTTATTTGTTTATTTAATGCATTAACTATTCACCATCTATTTCTATAACACGCTTTCACTGTTCTGCAGTTTCCTGACTGCCAGACACTTGCTGTTTTTCTTCCCCATCTGTATTTCATCATGGGTTGCAGTTATTAAGAAATGAAAGTCGAGATGTGACAATCCACTCAATATTCGGTTGATTTGAAATAGTGTCATGCAGAGTCGACTTCGGAATTCCCAAACTAGCTGACATAGAAGTGACAGACCATGAACGCTGAATGAATTACAGAAATCCGATCCAGCAAAATTTCCTGTGAAGTTGCCATTGAAGAGTTTGAACCAGAACTGCTTCTTTCGCTTGCTAAGGGCATTAAGCCTCATAGTGTGCTCTAACTGACGATGACCTTTGGTACCACTGGTATTTTGTAGAATTAAAAATTGCAAAAACACGCGTTATTAACGATCACTTATGGAACTGTTTTTGAACTACAAGCCGTAGAGAACAGTGTATGATTGCCTAAAATAGAACGTCGAATAAGATATTGAAAACTACTCCAGCTGAGTCTGACACGCCGGCATGCATGTCACAACATGTTCCTAAATACCGCAGCTTTACGCCGGACGACTTTATAGATATCCGCCTTGTATTACTATTTCTACTGTTCCCCTCTTGCAAGCATGTCTGGTTGTAAAATTACCTAACCTATGTTTTCTTACCTACCTCCTGTGAGAAAAAACGTATGCCTTTGTAGTTCCGCTGTCCGGAGTTATTTCTTTCCGCAGAACGTTTGACAAATGTATCTGACTTCACGTGAAAGAAACTTCCCAAAGTAGCCTTGGTGAGAGAGCGAAGAAAGGAGAAAAAACTCTCTAGCAAGTGTAAGATATTGGACGCGCATTTTTACTTAGAAAGTCCATTAATAATATTTTTGGCTTCAGGTTAAAGGAATTAGAACTTTGTAATTTCGCACTTTTATTTTAGGAAGAACTTTTATGAGTAACCTGTACAGTCATTTATAAAGCAGCTCTTGGTTTGTTGTTTTCGCTTTTTGTTTCCGGAGTTCGTTTTAAAACTTTGAAGTACTGAAATTTACATCTAAAAGGGTGTAGAAAATAGCCAAGAAAAATTGTTAGAAAGGAATCTATATCGTTCGCTTGAAGAAATTATGAGATCGAGTCACTGGAGGAAGAACTCTGGACTGGAAAACACAATAATGTCACGGCATGCGAACTCATGAGGTATACCACGCAAACTCACACATTAAAATCTGAATTGATGGACTGACAGAGGCATCGATGCATGAGGTGACAATAGTATGTATTTAAATTGCTTATACGTATTGTGTGTTTATATTTCCACATTTATGTTTGCGAAGGGTCAAAGTATGATACAGGGCAACTTGTTCCTACTCTACCTCCTACTCGGTGTGGCGTCCCCTATTTCCCCTGTAACCCCCTATAGCCCCACGGTACCCATGGGTGTTTAGGCTTTAAGCCTTCGTGGTGGTTTAAGGATAAAAAAGGGCTAATAGATCAGGAGCAGAATTATATTCTTTTTGTTAAACTTTTAAGTTGGAAAAAGAACCTTTTTCCATATGGTCAAGTAGTTCGTGTATGCGGTCCGAAAAAGATATAAAAATACCATCAGACCTTACACCACCAATTTAGCACGATTAATTTTTTAGTACAAAAAAAAACCTCAGAAACCGTAAATTTCAAATTTTTTCCCGAAAAACGCCTAACGGTAAATCTGTACTGATAATCAAAAATTAAACACTTTATGGTGCTTAAAATTAAAACATATTAAAAAATGCCTAAAGGTTTCTGCAAATGCTCTGATGAGCTGTTGAATCAATCAAGTGACCTCATATAGTTCCACTCTCTCACTAGAGACTTAGTTTGATATTGTATTAGAAGAGGTAGTAGATTTTCTTATACTAACCATATAAAATAGCGTGGCTAAGAGCACTATTTTTGCCTAATCAGTTGTTTTTCAACAATCATAGTTACTAAAAAGTTGATAAAAAATACACATTTTGACCCAAACTTTTTTCTGCATTTGGAGGCCCAAATAACATGCTGTTCATGTTGTGATATTAAGTATTTTTGGGAAACTAAAAAGCTCACCAAAAACGTTTGAGCTCGCCAAAGTAATTATAATTTGTTTACAAGGAATAAACGGAATGGTATTCAGTCTGCCGTATTTCGCGGTATACGGAACTTTAGTAACGACTTGGTACAACATTTACTATGCAAACTATACATTTGTGATACGAAATAGATGTCATTGTTCCTAATTTTCGCTTCGTGACCGTCGCACAAAAATCCAGCAAATCCGCGTCGCAAAAAAGCGGATTACTCCGGTGGAACACGTGCCCTAAAATAACAGCGAGCGCGGGGCTTTTTGTAAACGTGCGTACATTGCAGATGAAAGCTCCGTTCATTATTTGACCGGTTTGGAGGATTGCTGATTGTTGCACCCCACCTATATATGTATATAAATGACAATAGGGCGAGCGGCGTACAGCGGCGGTTTGACAACTGGCACACATGAACACCTCCCGGCAATGTGCGGCACTCGAGGGGACACTTTAAATATCACCGATCGCATTGGTGGCCGCTTGGATATTTAGAAAGGGAAAACGCATATTACGAGTAATATAAACATTATGTTCGGCACAAGTTAGATCCTTTTAAAACGGACGCTGGGTAGCCATCGATTTGAAGGCTCGCGGGTTCGAATCTCGGAAGCTAATTTTGAGCCATGAATTATTACGCACAAGATCGCTGCAAGATCAACATTGTTACATTGCATCACTGGAGCTGGTTGATTCAATAATCAGTCACCAGAAGATACAATGTGGAGGAGTACAGTGTTGGTACAACGTTACCGGCAAAATGAATCAACGGTGGCCTAGTTGCCAGGTTTCGCCTCTCCACGATCATTACTAATACTACTACTAGGACCTCTTAGAAAACAGTACGACTATTATAACAAAGTGATTATAGCCCTGTTTCGTACCGCTGTCACCAAGCTGTCAGTCATCGTATTCAAGACACCCCCACACAAATTTCGTTCATTCTGCTACGCTATGTAGACGGAATTCACTTGGGCGGATCCTAGACACAGTCACCAACAAGTCACCGAGCGCTCTATGAACTAACCATATTATGATCTACTTACGATTTAATCACTAAATCAGTATACTTCGGCAGCCGCTAGGTAGCGACGGGTTGATCTCCTATCTTCGTTACGCTTACTTGGTGGATACCACTGAAAAATCTTGTCGGCTCGGCGTGGATATTGGAAAAGTAAGTAAAATTATCATAGTTAAAAGCGTATACATTTACGATCGCACAACAACTGAGATGTGTGTTTCCTTATTTCCTGCACCCCCTCCTCAATTTTTTACTACTCAAAGGGTTTCCAAAAATGAGCATGAATGAAGTCTATCCAAATAAGATATCAAAAGTGCCATCTATTACCAACATAGACCGCTGCAAAAGTGAAGAGCAGTCATAAGAACTATCAAGGTATCAGTTTGCGTCGAAAGCACAGCACTCACTGTGTCCGCTTAATATTGTCGGTTGTGGTGGTATACTTGACAACAACAACAAGGAATATCAGTTTATTCTTTTTTCAACAGAAACGTATGCTGTAATAGACAAAGAAAAACTTTATTTTTCACATATTTTTTTTCCTTAGTGGTATGACCAATCAGATACTTCTCATATTGAGCATTTTTGCAGTTTTCTGGCATTGATAGCCGTAAAAATAAAATTAAAGCACATTTAAGAATCTCACCATTTGAATTCGGTGAACTTTGCACGTAAGCAAAGTAAACTAAACCGTGCAGGTCAGGACAAATCTCACTCAGCTTAGGTTAGTGAAACTGAGTTTTGATAAGAAGGATGTACAGTGGACCGAGCAAGCTGAAGTGAGATTGTGTGTAAAACGTAGGTAGCCCGAATGATGGAATAACTTCGAAACAAACCAAAACATATTTTCTTACTTTTATCAGTCTTTGAATATAAAACGTTTTATAAATAAAAAATGCAAATAGAAGCGACAATTCTCAAACTTGTTGGAACAGAAATGTTTAATAAAAAAAGAAACTAGATAGCTATTTGTTTTGATGTGTTGTAAAGAGAAGAAAAATAGTGAATATTCTCATCCGCATTTTTGGATGCCTAAAAATTGACATACCTTGATTCCATAAACTATACTATATCGCCGGAATCAAGGGCATCAAGCGGTCCCCGCGGCTCACACTCGGCTTTCGTAGCGAAATGAGACACCTTTACACTTCCGCAGATCATTCACTCTGGAATTGGTCGCTTACTCAAGATATTTTGAACACTTAGTGGCCGAAACTAGTTCTCACAATTGCAATCAGAATCTTTTGCACGCCTCTGATTCGTCCCCTTGAAAAACCTGATCGTACACCGTGCTCCCACAGCTCTCACGTCATCGTGATCGGGAATAGAGGGAAAGGTAGAGCAGTCTGGAATCGGGGGGACACACGGGACCCGCTACCCACATACGGCGTCAGCCACCCCTGCATTCACGGATTGCCGATACTCTGGCTGTCGCACCTCTCCCCTTGACAGTACACCGGTGAACAATCGTTGTAATCATGGCACGATTTTTGATTTTTAGTACGGGCGTGTACTATATATACTATTGCCATTTTTATTATACAGGGTGAATTTTCTTCCAGGAAGTGGTAGGCAACCTAAAATGCAAGGGTTTACAGTGCTTTTCAACAACCCCCCCTCTAGTTATCTTTTGAACGGATCAAGCTAGAAAGCTGCCATTGACAGCAAAATAACCAGTGAATCTGGAATTAAAACAACGCTGTCAAAATAGATACTAACAATATATGTATATACCCTCTGAAAGATAATCGAGGTAGACATTCCGTGATATGGGAAAAAGTAGCTAGTCTCATTTAAATAATCAAGTTACCTTTCATTGAAGATTCCCAAATTGCCGTAATGGATTCTGAGGATGTAAAGAGAATTGGTCGTCCTATGTTTTATATCGCCAATGATGTTGCCCCGAGATATCACCCTGCAGCGCCTGACACGCGCCACATCTGCGCCATATAGGTCGATAGATACCCTAAACCGCATCTACTGAGAAATGTTTACATGTGTATTATTCGCCACCGATGGGGGTACTATCGGTTTATCAAAACTAGATAGACCAACACGTGTGATTATTCCTTGTGATTATTCCTGCCCTGAGATTACTCGGGGCGAATCTTTCCTCGCGGGACTGGACCTCTCTGGGCCAAAAAGTAAGTAGCTGTTTCAATCTATTCTACTTTCATTTATCCAGCATTTTGTTAATACGCTTTGATATTTTATTTTTTTTGTGTTATAATTTGAGCTTCCATGCCAGCGTGTCTGCTCAGCCCAGAGCAAACTTGCCCCCATAACACAATCGTGACAATATTCAGAGCTTTTCTACATTCTAGTAGGAAAAAGGGGCCTTTTGGGGCCTCTGGTCGATCGTTTTCGTCTGGAATCAAAGTATGCACAAATTATAAAAAATCTCATCAAGTTTCACATCGTATAATTTCCATTTTCATTCTTCGTGCCTACAAGTGAATGAAACTCATTACACTGGGATAATTTAGGACCACTGTGTAAGAATCTCGTCATCAGCAATTTCTAAGGTTATATGAATCTTTCACAATGTACAAAGTTGCCATTTTGGTTTCCCGTTTCCACAAGTGAAGGTGGGCTAGCTTGGAATGATGAATTGAAATATGGTCAATAATGGTCCTAAAGCATCACCAATTGGAGCATGAAAATAAACCGTTTACTGCCTCTCAATAAAAACTTTTCATTAGTTATGTCTTAAAACTTCAAACTCTCATATATACAAATACTTCTTAAGAAATGGCAAAGTAGGTTGACTCTGCATTACCGTCCACTTGGCAACGTCGCTCTAACTCATACCTGAGTACGACGTGTTAGAGGCGACAGCGCGACATTGCGCAAGTAATGGCAGGACACTTATCAAAACATTCTTGACTCCTGTGAATTATTCTAATTTTTAACTTTTATTCCATTTTTCCATTTTTGTCCCATATATCCACCACCACTAGACAAATTTTCAAAAACTACAACAATTTTCCGTACTTGGCAAAGTAATGTTGTGTGAAAATTGCAACCAAATCCGAGAGGTACTTTCCAAATTATAGACAAACCAAGGATTAGCGGATAGGCAAACTAACAGACAAACAGACAGACTGACGGAAATCAGTGAAATGGGTTTACGTGATGTCCATGTCATATAATATCAAAAAAACGTCCTGTCTCATGTTCGAAGTTATTCGCGATTACAATACTTTCTCGAAAGTAGGCATGGGAAGTAAAAAGTCCATTCGGATTTCGAACAAAATTATTCAAATTAGGTGGAAACGCTTCCAACAAATATATTTTTGAAAAAAAGGATTATTTTTATGCTGCATTAATTTTCTAGAGAAATATTCAAGAGGTTCATTTCGTTGGAGAATGTAACTTTATTTTCAGCATCCACACCAAGTTCTTGTATTTTCGCCTACGTATACCTCCTACATTTCTACTTACACGGAGTACAAGCTGGCTAGATAGTCGATTCACCAACCCTCCGGTTTTCAGGCACACTCTGTTTACCTGGAATAAAATATGTTTGCTTTAGTAAATAGCACCGACGGCAGGGGATTTGCACGGAGATTAAATTTAAAAAATGAAGGTAAATAGACAGAAGGGGGATTATTCATTAAATCGAATCAGCACTGAGGATTTTATACGCTGCTAACTGCACAGCTTGATTGACGTTTTTAGGGGTAGTTGCATTGTTAGTTACGCTGAAAAGTCAGATATTTAAAAACGTGGGCTGAATAATACATTGTACTGATCTATATTTATGGAACAACTAATAGATACAGACAGCCATAATCAAAACACTTGGAGTACATATTTATAACTGTGAAAAGTATAGGCTTAGGCATAAGCGCTTATCATATGCACTACGAAGAGGTGACAGCGCCAACTCCAATGATTAGAACTATAGCATATTGATGATTGCCTGAAATCACGAAACAAAGTTGTATCTTATTCAGCCTATGCAGGGTGTTTCTTACATGAACTGACAAAAAGATATGGGTAATTGAGGACACTATTTGATGATTTTTGGTGGAAACCGGAATGCTCTAAGGTTTCCGAAATATGATTTTTTCGTTTTTTTTTTTGCTGAATTACCTACAATGGCGCAGAACTATCGTGATAACTTTTTTGTTTGTCACTATAATAACACAAAATAAATTCGGGATTAATCGTTTGTACAATGCTTCTCCATAAAATGACTTATGACCTTCCAAAGTACCTACTAAAATAGCGCAGAGTGAATAAACAAATTTAAATTCAAAATTCGAGTACAAGAAGCTTGTACTTTTTTTAAAATCAGTTTTATTTACAAAAGTTCTTTGGTTCATTGACTTTACAACGAGATACTAGACATCATAGAAATAAGATGTTTTGCGGTCGATAAACGAAAAAACAACTGATTAGGTTCAGGAAAAAGAATTCATTCCTTCATCTGACGAAATGTAGCTTCAATCCTCTGGATTAGTACCTCTCTGTTGGGTACCTCTGTCACATACAAGAAATTCCTTCGCTCGGCCCCAGACATAAAAGTCCAAAGGTGTCAGGTCAGGAGACCGTGGTGGCCAAGGTATAGGACCATCCCTACCAATCCAGGCGTTTGGAAACGCATTGTCGAATGGGTTGGACGTAATGTGCGGGGTAACCATCATGCTCGAAAATAATTGGTGCATCGGTTAAAATTGGTAACAGCAGATAAGGCAACGCAATCTGCAGGAATTCCAGGTAATTTTCTCCATTTAGCCGATCTGGCAAAAAATAAGGTCCTATCAGAGTCCATCCAACAACGCCGGCCCACGCGTTGACGCTGAATCGTCTTCGAAATTAGCACTGACTTCTTGTGTGGGTTCTGGTCCCGGTCTGAACAATAGTGCAGATTGTCAAAATTCACGATTTCGTCATGGTTGAAGGTGGACCCATCTGTCCACAAGGTCCTCTTCAAAAAGCTATCGTCGTCCACGTCCGCGTGAAGAATAAATCTGCAGAACTCCTGCCTTCTCGTACTGTCACTTTCGTCCAGACCTGTAACATAAATACGCATACGATTAGCACAACTGCACATGTGTCAAACTTAACAAGAGCTAATGTTTTTATGACCATAGACTATTCTACGACAATGACTTTGACAAGCTGTATACACGTGTTCATAAGAAATAAGGATTTAAGCTCTTATGCTTGTGACTGTGATTATGACTATGTTTATTAAAATGTGGCAAAAACCTGAGAAAACTTAAGATTACATTACCTTGTACAGGACAATAATGAAATGGATATTTCCTGTTTCCCTGTAACACAAACCAGACCTTTTTCACCGACACAGCAAGTCTTTCAGCCACAACCGGAATACTTGTGGTAGGATCCGCATCATATGCTCTTAGGATTTGCTCATCAGTAGACAGACTGAGTTGTCGACCACTCACTCTAGGCTCTTGAAAATTCACGCTGCCAGTCTCTCTCAGTCGCCGATATGTTGTTGCGGAGGTGCCATGGTGAGGGGTATCGCTGCTGTTAAAGTCTTTGCGCTTCATGTATCATGTGAATTGCAGTTAGCTCTGCCATAAGCCAGCAACATGTCAGCATATTCCTCGTTACTGAACCTCGGCATTATGACAACAATGAAACTTGATAATGACAGTGAAAACACTAACAATAACAAAAACAGAGACAGCAAAATCGAACGCAAATACTCTCTGGTATGAGAGATCGTCAAAGCTGGACTAGCCCTAATTTCGTAATGCACTCTTTTATCTATGAGATGATGAGGATCGTAAATGAAATGTAATTATCAGGTAAGCTCATCCAACACGGGCAACTTTATTGCAATTAATCCATACCTGTCAGGTTATGAGATTAGACATTAATGGCAGTTGTCATTAATATCCTAAGACGTATTATGGTAATCCAGGTATCGGATGTCATTAACTTCAAATCCATCTGCATAAGAGGTATTCCTAATCTGTGTACTGCTTGGCCCTTGCTAACTTCATTATTCTCAAGAAGTGGAGGCAGTCATTTCGAAATTACATAAAAATGTATAAATCGCACAAAAAATCAATAGCTCGACACACTGTTTCCTGTAATTTTGACCATTAAACAAATTATTTCTATGATGTGTAGCATATCGTTGGAAAGGCAAAGAAACCTGGAACTTTTTGGTGTAACTAAGTATCACCAGAGGTATAGTTTTTTTGTAAGCGAATTTTGAATTTAAAGTTGTTTATTCACTCCGCGCTATTTTACGACTTTGGAAGGTCATGTCATTTTATGGAGAAGCTTTGTACAAGCCATCTCATCTGATTCAGTATGCTATGCAGAATCGACTCGAATTTACCTTGTGTTATTATCTCGAGAAACAAAAAAGTTATCACGATAGTTCTGCGCCATTGTAATTCAGCAAACAAAAAACGAAAGAATCATATCTCGGAAACCGTAGCCCCTAGAGCATTACGGTATCCACCAAAAATCATCAAATATCGGCCTCAATTATCCATATATGGAAGAGCAGCTACAGCTGAACTTCGCCCGTATTATTATTATTATATTCTTTGTCGGTTTATGTAGGGAACACCCTAGTAGTAGAGTAGCATACAGTAGTAGAGGTAATGTTCATTTGTAAATAAAGTTATTGAGTATTATGACATTATATGCAATCAGGCTACAAATATACGTACAATCCGTTGAAGCTAAAAGCAAATACTAACAGGCTATAACATCATCAAGATATGCTGCAAAATGTCGAGGCATTGACAGGATCCACTGTTTAAGTTTCTTTTTTAACATCTTTTTTGATTTCAGTGCTCTGAAGCTGTCCGGAATAAATGCATAAGCTTTAGGTGCTATAAGTCAACGCCAAACAAAGTGGCGTGCACGTCATCAAGGTGGGTGTGTTGAAAAATTTACATTGTTGCCAAACTTTTTGTAAAATAATAAAATTTATTATTTACATATCTAGGTTTATAAGCAATATTAACCTCAAATGAGAACAAAAATAATAGTATAATAAAATTATAGATCTGTACTTGCATAATCATTAAGTATGACAATTATTGATCAGATGACACTATGAAACTACCATATTTAATTGATAGCTTAAAGGTACTGAATAAAAATCCAAATGGGGTCCTCCAAATTTTATGCATGGTATTTATTTTACAGAATTCATACAGAAAAATGCATTCTAAAATTAGGTAAGCTACTGGTGTAAGCTTTTTCTGTACAATAAAGTTAGTCGGAGTTTCTTTCTTCAGCGCTGTCTGAATCTGAATCTTCATCACTCTCAAAGTTGATTATTAAAGGTTCGATGTCTGGTCGATCAAAAATTCGTTCTCTTTCATACCATTTAAAAATTTCTTGCTCAGTATGTCGAACACTATTTTTCCACATGTCTGGGGTAACCGTTTGTAGAGCCTCGTTCCACATATCCAAACAGTCTTTTTCACTGTTACCATCTCTACCAATATGTCTGTTATAGTAACCTTTTGCTATGCCCCAAATTAACTCAATAGGGTTAAATATACAATGGTAAGGAGGCAGACGAAGAACTTTGTGCCCATGTTGTTCCGCCAATTCATCAATCACGTATATTTTAGGTGGTTTGTTTCTAAAAAAGCAGTTATTTTAAGAATAGGAATAAACAAAAGAAATATAAACTGTCGACCAAAATATATATAATTAAGAAGCATTATGTACCGAGCAACAATACTCAATAGCTCTGTTTTAAACATTGTGTTTAAAAATGGTATGTTTTGATTTGTCAACCAGTCTTGGATATTTTTTTTGTCCATGCACTGTTGAGCACTTTGTTTAATATCATGCTGTGATAAGGGGCGTTATCAAGTATAATCATAGATGGACTCTCCAATTTTTCTAATAACTGATGTTGAAACCATTTCAAAAAATTGTCCTGGTTCATCTCTCCATGGTAATCGCTCAATTTTGTTTTCGAAGAAAATATCGCTTCACTACCCTCAATAAACCCATTTTCATTTCCAGCATGTAATATAATGTATCTAAAATATATTAGTTTTAAATTTTATAGTGCAAATTGTGTAAAAGTACATACCTTTTACCATCTGTTTTAATAGCTTTCACGCTTTTTTGGTTTCCATTTTGCCAAGAGCGACCTATGGTCCCATTTTGAAATATCCAAGTTTCATCGAGGAAGACAAACTGGTATAAGGCCTCAACCTTGGCTTGATTGTATTGCCTTAGAAATTCCACCCTTTTCAAAGCTATACTTGGTAGTTCCATGAGCCCTCGTCGCGGATTGTCCTTAAGCCACTTAAATCCAAGATCTCTAAGCAACCGCCTTAAAGACGTGGTACTACCATCAAATAATGCCCTATCTCTTAATCGAGACCATAAAGTTTGTATCGTAACTTGTTCTTCTGAAACCATGTGTAATATGACATTATAATTTAGTTAACAAATTAATGCAAATTTCTGATAAGTTATTATAATAAGATCTTACTTTTGTGATACATATTATAGATCACTTCTCGAATGGCACT